TGTCCCCACGGGGTGTCCTGAGGGAGGGACGGAGCCCCAGAGAAATGGGGGTCGCGGTGACTTGGCAGAAGCGATTCCGTGCAGGACTGAAATATTGCTGGGGGGGGCAGAATTTGTCCAGCCTGCCTTAATTTATTTAAAAAAAACTAATAATCTAAGCCTGCTGATCGCTGGGGAGAGGTCAGCACAAATCTGGTTAGCTTGAATTCGTTGAGGTGTGGGTAAGGCTTATCTGATTTACTGCATAATTAAAGCTCAAGAAGCAGCTCCGGAGGGTGGTGTGATGCCTCCGCCATCGGAGCGATTCAAATTAAAAATCTGCCAGGACAAGGATTGTGGTCGGGTGCAGGGTTTGGTGTCACCAAGTCCTTCTCACCTCTCTGGCTTTGCCTGGTTGCACAAAGCCATGGCTGGGACTGTCCACCTTCCCCCACCGTTAGATCTGTGGATGTTGTGGGGAGGATTTTTTTTTAGCATCGGTACCATATCCTGCATTTGGCAACTATGGGATGGTTTCTTAGAATCATAGAATGGTTGGGGTTGAAACTGACCTTAAAGACCATCCATTTCCACCCCCTGCCCTGGGCAGGGACACCTCCCCCCAGACCAGGTTGCTCCAAGCCCCCTCCAACCTGGCCTTGAACCCCTCCAGGGATGGGGCAGTCACAGCTTCTCTGGGCAACCTGGGCCAGGCTCTCACCACCCTCACAGGAAACAAGTTATTCCCCAGATCTCATCTCAATCTCCCCTCTCTCAGGTTAAAACCCTTCCCCCTCGTCCTATGGCTCCCCTCCCTGATCCAGAGTCCCTCCCCATCTCTCCTGGAGCCCCTTTGGGGACTGGAAGGGGCTCCAAGGTCTCCCCGGAGCCTTCTCTTCTCCAGGCTGAACCCCCCAACTCTCTCAGCCCCCCCTCCCAGCAGAGGGGCTCCAGCCCTCCCAGCATCTCCGTGGCCTCCTCTGGCCCTGCTCCAACAGCTCCATGTCCTTCTGCTGGTGGTGGCCCCAGAGCTGGAGGCAGCAGTTTGTGGGAGACATGGCTCAGGCAGCCCAAAGGGACTTGGCCTGAAAAGCTGCAGGAGTTTGCACTTTAGTGAAAACCGTATTGTAGGCAGAGCTTTCAGATTTATTCCATTGTGGGTTGGTTTTTTGGTCATCAGTTAATGTATTTACAGATAAGTGTGATCTTTTTTGTTACAAAAGATAGAGACCTTGGCTTAAATTGGCAACTGAAACTGTTACAAATTGCACCCAAATGAGGAATCCCCATCAGAAACTTTCTTGACTGATTTCACTGAATTTTAGAGTTGGAAGGGACCATAGAGATCATCTAGTCCAACTCCCCTGCTGAAGCAGGATTGCCTAGAGCTAGAGCATGTTACTCAGGAGCATCCAGGCGGGTCTTGAAAATCTCCAAGGAAGGGGACTCCACACCCTCCCTGGGCAGCCTGTTCCAGGGCTCTGTCACCCTCACCGTGAAGAAGTTTCTCCTCATATTTGAGTGGAACCTCTTATGTTCCAATTTGTGCCCGTTGCCCCTCGTCCTCTCACTGGGAACCACTGAAAAGAGTCTGGCTCCCTCCTCCCGCAGCCCGCCCTTGAGATACTTGTAGGCGTTGATAAGGTCTCCCCTCAGCCTTCTCTTCTCCAGACTAAAGAGTCCCAGCTCTCTCAGTCTCTCCTCATAAGGGAGATGCTCCAATCCTTGAATCATCTTTGTTGCCCTTCGCTGGACTCTTTCTAGTAGTTCCCTGTCCCTCTTGAACTGGGGAGCCCAGAACTGGACGCAGTACTCCAGTTGTGGCCTCACCAGTGCAGAGTAGAGGGGGAGAATAACTTCTCCCACCAAAACATCATGGTGAAGGAAACATTGGCGTGTAATTTCTCTGCGTTTTTTTTTTTTTTCCCCCCTCTGGTGGTTTTCAAAGCTCTGTGTTACTCCTGTGCACGTAGCGCCGCAGCGAAATGGCCGACGATAACGAGGAGCTGCCGGCAGACGAGGAGCTGCCGGCTCCGGCCGAGGACAGCTTTGAGCAGCTGGAGAACGACAGCCCTGCCGAGCGCAGCGGGCACGTGGCCGTCACCGACGGGCGCTGCATGTACGTCTGGGGAGGCTATAAGGTATGAGGCTCTCCTCGTTAATTAAGCCTTCTGCCACCCCTGGTGCTGGTAATTGCATCCCATTCGTTTGGGAGCGACTCCGTGAAATTATCCCTCCCCTGGAAAAGAAAAACTCCGGTTAACGAATTAGATTGTGACATTGATGGGTGTGGAAATATTGAAATAAATCATGAGATCTTGGCAAACAGATAGCCTTTGTGGGACGCAGGGTGCCCTTTGCCTCTGTCAGCTCACAGGGAGCAGCTGGGAGAGGAGGAGACACTGGTTTGAAACGCCCAGTCTGCAAAATGCTGCTTTTATGTACAGTGTTATCAGCACGACTGTGTGTTGCGTGTTAGTGATGAGGGGTTGGTTATTTATCAGGCTGGGCTGTGCACTGCAGGAATGAGGATGAATTCTCAGTGAACTCAGTAAATAAGTTGGTAGCTCAAGACAAAGCTGCGGTGAATCGTTCCGGGAGTGTCGTGCAGGGGGTGGGGGAATTAGAAAGGACATTTTGGCTCATTTATGCACCCTTCTTGGGCTGTGAAAAGGAGGTTCAACGAGTCTGTAGTTCAGTATTGTCAAACATCCTTCTGATGGTGCTTTTTCTGTTCTGCAGAACGCCCAAGTTCGGGGGTTTTATGACTTCTATCTGCCCAGAGATGAAATATGGATTTACAACATGGAAACTGGAAGATGGTACAGTAAATAATTAATTGTTGTTTCAGGTGGAAAAAAAAAAAAGAAGATAAATTCTTAAACTGGTCTGTGAAAAGAGAGAGAATTCCCTGATCGTTTTGTTCCCACTTCTCAAACTGTTCTGTAATTGTGTAAAATTATTTCCAGAATGTTGGGTTGTTTTTGTTTTTTTTTCTGTGAAAACAGCAAATGTATTTTCACCGGGTGAAGGAGGAAAGGCAGCCCCTACAGGAGTGTGTGATCAACAGCGTGAAGCGTTTGGGGATGCCCAGTGTAGAGTATAGCACCTGAAAATTGTATTTATGGCACTTTTGATTACAGTGAGGGAATCCGTACTGAGTTTTTTTATTTGTTGTCCTTTTAAGAAGTTGTTTTTAAATGTTGGTACAGTCAGAGAAGCTGCTGTGTCACCTCAGGCCATTGGGAGCCTGGAAGTTGGGTGGAACCTGGATGCCTGAATTCCCAGAAGGGAATCCAGTGCTGGGGCCTCGCGCTGCGAAGCCAAATCTCCCCTCAACCCTCTGCAGAAAGTGCCATCTCAGCAGTTTTTTCCAGTCCCCGTGGCGGTCAGGGAGAGCCTGGGACATGGGCTGGAAACTCATCTTTGTGGTTCTTATGTTTACAAACATTAAAAATCCAGTAGCAAAATAGAAGCCTTCAGTTTAGAGAGGTGCATCCTCTTTGCCCCAGGATCTTCCTGGGGATTGTGAACGCGAAAGGGGAAGCAAACTCCTGAACTGGGCAGACGGGATTCCAACCCTACAAAAGATGGATTAATTAAATTGCCTTTTCCCCACCCCCCCTGTCCATCATCCCAGGTCAGGGCTGTAAATGGTTAAACCTGCCAGGGTGCAAGAAGCTCAGAACTAAATGGTCCAGGGTGACCCGTCGGAATTAAAAAACATACTGCTTATGTTTTAAACATAAATTTCCTCTGCAGATAAAATCGGTGTTGTGCATTTTTAGCAGCTGGAATGTTTAAACCTGTGCTTCCAGGAAGAAGAGTAAAACAGAGGGAGATGTTCCACCATCCATGTCTGGAAGTTGTGCTGTGTGTGTGGACAGAGTGGTGTACCTCTTCGGAGGCCACCACGCACGTGGCAACACCAACAAGGTTAGAAAAGCCAAACCCCTCCTCACAAATAAGTTTCTTCCTTGTTAGCTTTTTATTCCCATTTTTTCATAAACTAGAGGTGGCCCTTCCAGTTAATTAAAACCCATCCAAACTGTGATTGGATCAGTGCTTTTGCGTTTGCTTCTTTTGAAAGATGGGAATTCCCAGAGTTCACTGAAATAATGCCAGGAGGTGATTTGTAACTGCTCTGTAGTTGTTTGAGACATTCTTCTTCTCTGGAGGCTCTGATAGTATTTTCTGATGTTCTGGAAATGAGGTTTAAATTAGATAGGGTTTTTCTTGGCCTCACTCCTAATATAAACTGAAAGGAGCTTGATGCAATTCCTTGGACAGCCTGAAACAAACTACGTTTATAAGGTGTGACTTGTTTCCTTCCTGCTGTGGTTTTCTTACATTTCAGTTTGTTTATGTGTGTGTCTCAGCTCTTTCTCTCCGTGTAAAATGATGTAACACACAGAGAAGGGATGACACCTTAAAACTCCTTTTTTTTTTCTTTTAAAAACATATTATTTTTTAATTGTAAGACAGTTGCTACTTTGTACACACCTTCATAGCATCCTTTTTCAGCTTTTGGATGGTAAAACTCATTGTCCAGAGTCCTGTTAATTTTGTAAAAAAAGTGTTTGGGGCTTGAGTCTGCAACAAGATAAGGATCTTTGGATCCATATTTTGTTCCAAACGTCAGTGCTCTGGGAAAAGAGTATTTCTATGCTAATTAAAAGTGAATATTTTGACATCAGTCAGACTTAAGCTTTAAGCTAACTGTGTGGGTAAAAAATAAATCTTTTTATTTTCTACAGTTCTACATGTTAAATTCCAGATCCACGGACAAAGTGCTGCAATGGGTCAGAGTAGAGTGTCAGGGGGTTCCCCCCTCGTCGAAGGACAAGCTCGGCGTCTGGGTTTACAAAAACAAGTAAGGCTCCAGCCCCGCTCTCCTGGCGCCCGTGTTTGCTTTTAATTGCTCTTCCTCTCCTCGTCCTTGGGTCTTGTTGCTTGAAGTAGGGCTGCAGGAGGATTTCTTTGCCTCTGCAGCACCTTCATGCTTCGGGAAGATGCTGGGTGTCTTCCCCAACCCGCCTTTTAAAACTGCTCCGGCCTTTGAACGTTGATAAGTGAAAAACCTCGCTCCCAGATTTGGGTCTGTTGCCTGTGGCTTTTTTGGCCGTGCACCTGCTAAAGTGCTTCAGGAAGATGCTGGGTGTCTTCCCCAACCTGCCTTTTAAAACCGCTCCGGCCTTTGAACGTTGATAAGTGAAAAACCTCGCTCCCAGATTTGGGTCTGTTGCCTGTGGCTTTTTTGGCTGTGCACGTGCTAAATTCCACGTGTTCTGTGGTTGCTGGTTGCACAAAACAAGGGGACGTGTTGCGTGCACCTGCTAAATTCCATCTGTTCTGTGCTGGTTGCACAAAACAAGGGGACGTGTTGGATGAAGTGCTGTTGGTGTTATCTGATTTCACGTGTTGGGATGGTGTCCCACAGGTGCCACCGGGCTTTTTGGCACCGCAAACCTTGGAAAAGAGGAGGAAGATGAGGAGAAGGTGTTGAAGCCTGATGAGCTGATGGTGCCAGACGTTGCTGTTGCCTTGTACCCTCCTCCCCAGTTCAGTTTGGGTAGCTCTGGTCCCCTAAACTCTGTGACGAGATCATTCCAGCCCCTGTTGTCAGTAGATAAGTCTCCTGCTTCCACCAGTTGGTTGTATCCCAGCTCCTCGGGAGGTTGGGGGTGGAAGTGGATTAACTGAAGGCAGAGACTTTTGTCTCTCCTCTTGGAGCATCTACCCAGGGCTGATTTCTCAGAAGGTTCCTGGCTTCCAGAGAGCAGGACTCCAAAATGGTCTGGGAGCAGGTGACAGCTCGTGTGGCCAGGATTGTCCCTTTGCAGGAGAAGCTGGAAGGGCTGGTCCCTGCAGAGGTCTGTGATGCCAGGGGATGAGGAGGTCCCGTGTCACCGTGAGGTGACAGTGATTTTGGTGTCTAATAATACTATGGGTGGCTGCTGCTTTGAGGGAACTCCCTGTGGGATTTTCTGCAGAGAGAGGAAATGGCCCGTGGTGCTGGTTTTCAGACTCTTGATGTGGAGAGAGAGCTTATTGCTGCGCTGATGGGTGGGATGAGTTCAGGTGTGAATCTGTGCAGGACTGGAGTTGTGGGTGTTTAGTCAGGTGGTGCAGGTTGGTTTTCTGTCACCTCATAATTCAATAAGAATTTCTGGCAAAAACCAGACAAAATGCAGCAAGTACAAAGGAAAATGTTCTCCTCCCCCTGAAAAAAACCCTAAAAACTGGGGAAAACTTCCCAGGTGGCTTCATTGGTAGAGGATCTGCTGTGTGTAGCGTCCCTTGGTCTCCTCCTTGTCCTGCACCATGGCCGTGCCCAGGTCATAATGCTTTCCCTTTGCTTCTTACAAACATTTTAGGCTCAGGAAAAGTGAGCAGAGGGTTTGGAAAAAGTTGATGGGGGGGAGTTGGGAAACTGGAGGAATAAACACCTGCAGCTGCTGTGTGGGAGCCCCAGTAGGGAAGCGTGGCAACCGGGCAGGAGGCCTTGGTAGCCTCCCTGTTTGGAAGCAGAGCAAAGCCTGGAAGCCTGAGGCCTGGGCAACAGCAACGGGAGGGATTTCGTGTGGGTGGGAGGGTTGATTAAGCAAGAAATGGGGCCCCACACCTGGAGAACTTGTGTTGTGGGTGTATTAGAAGTAGTGAAGCCAAAGGAGCTTCCCTGGTGTCCCATCCTCTGTTCAAACACAGCCTTTAAAGAACTTTAATTGACAGCACCAGCCGTGACAGCGTTTCTCATGGATCTTGATGCCTGTTTTCTTTCAGGCTAATATTTTTTGGAGGCTATGGGTATTTCCCTGAAGGGAAACAACGGGGAACTTTTGAGTTTGATGAAACCTCTTTTTGGGTAAGTAAACCTGGAAGTAATTTCTACTTAAACTTTAATATTTCATCACTGCTGTTTAAAACTTGTTGCTTGTTTAATGTTTTTAAAGAATTCAGGTCTCCCTAGAGGATGGAATGACCATGTGCACGTTCTGGACACTGAAACTTTTACTTGGAGCCAGCCTATAACTACGGTAATTATTAGTCTTATGTCAGTTAATTAAAGTCACAGCTCTTAGAATCATAGAATGGTTTGGGTTGGAAGGGACCTTGAAGATCATCCAGTGCCACCCCCTGCCCTGGGCAGGGACACCTCCCACCAGACCAGGTGGCTCCAAGCCCCCTCCAGCCTGGCCTTGAACCCCTCCAGGGATGGGGCAGCCACAGCTTCTCTGGCCAAACTGGGCCAGGCTCTCACCACCCTCACAGTCAACAATTTCTTCCTCAAATCTCATCTCAATCTCCCCTATTTTCAGTGTAAAACCCTTCCACCTCCTCCTATGGCTCCCCTCCCTGAGCAAGAATTCCTCAAGAAAGAAATACGAATATATAAGCTCTTAAGAAGTATGTGCACTGTATCTCCTGTAGCATCCCATGAAAACCAGTGTGACTCTGCTAGGCTTGGGTTCTTTAATTAGTGTCGTTAGCAGTGGGTGTTGATGGAACAGCCTCCTTGTCTCCCGGTGAGGGGACAGTGGTGGCCTGTCCCAGCAGGGGTGGCTTTGGGCCACAGATATTCGGAGTGGCTGGGACAACTTGCCGTGTGAAGCCGTCGTGTCTCTTGCAGGGTCCTATCTGTAGTCTGCATCTCTCTGGTGCTATTTCAGAAGCTGTGGTTAACCATTTGCAAGCAAGAAGCACGGAAATTCACCCAAAATATATTTTTTCTGCTTTCCTGCTCCACCCCTGTGCTGAGTGTCGAGTTGTCAGGTGGTCTGTGACCCTGCCTTCTTCGGGATAGAAACTGGTCCCCAAATGCCAGGAGTTAGGAAAGATGGAGGAACCCTCTGAAACACCTGCTGGTCGCTAGCAGGAGGACATCAGAGATGTCCTGCTGGCTCCTGGGTGTGTGGAGTGGTGGGAGTCGTGTCTTCTTCTCTTGGTGGTGTTGGGGGAAGCCCCATGTCTGCAGCTCTGCTGGTTTCTGCTCTTCTGGGACATGCTGGGTCTGTCTGGGCAGGAGACTCCACCAGGAGCTGAAGCTCGGGACGCTGTGACCAGGTCACTGCTGTCCTCATTCCCAGTCCATTGCCAACGAGGTGTGACTCTTAATTTCTGTCCTAGGTCTGGACTCCGTGAGGTGTCATGAACTTGTGTGTTTGCAGTTTTACCTACAACGTGCTTGTAGGGGAAGGACTGTCAAGAGAGGGGTTTGAAACACTGTTGGTAGAAGCAGCTTTGGAACCATCCCCTCAAAAATTACCTGCTCTCTCTTCAGTAGCATTCTTGAGGCCATTTAAACTGAATTTAAACCATTCATTTGCCTCAGGTCTTCTCTCCAAAATGGGGAACTTGCCTTTTATTTTGATCTGTCTTTCTCTCTTAGGTTTTTTTTCCCATTGACCCGCTTTCTTTCACGCCTCGGTGGCCTTGTGCTCCTGGGGAGCTCAGGAGGACACCATGTAGGGTTTCCTGTCACCCTGGCTGTAGTGTGACGGGTTGGGGCGTTGTGCTTGGCTGCCCAAGTGTGGTCAGAACAAAACAAAACGCTCCGTAATCGCAACTGTCCACTATTTGGAGAGTCCCAGCAATGCTCAGGACCAGGGAAACGGGGTGATACTGCCACAGAATTGGAGGAAATGGAATTGGAGATAAACTCCTCAGTGAGGGTAGGTTCAGGCTGGATATTAGGAAAAATTTTTTCACTGAAAGGGTTCTCAGCCATTGGAATGGGCTGCCCAGGGAGGTGGTTGAGGCACCATCCCTGGAGGTGTTCAAAAGACGAGTTTTACCTGCAACGTGCTTGTAGGGGAAGGACTGTCAAAAGAGGGGTTTAAAACACTGTTGGTAGAAGCAGCTTTGGAACCATCCCCTCAAAAATTACCAGCTCTCTCTTCAGTAGCATTCTTGAGGCCATTTAAACTGAATTTAAACCATTCGTTTGCCTCAGGTCCTCTCTCCTCTCCAAAAACGGGGAACTTGCCTTTTATTTTGATCTGTCTTTCTCTCTTAGGTTTTTTTTCCCATTGACCCGCTTTCTTTCACGCCTCGGTGGCCTTGTGCTCCTGGGGAGCTCAGGAGGACACCATGTAGGGTTTCCTGTCACCCTGGCTGTAGTGTGACGGGTTGGGGCGTTGTGCTTGGCTGCCCAAGTGTGGTCAGAACAAAACAAAACGCTCCGTAATCGCAACTGTCCACTATTTGGAGAGTCCCAGCAATGCTCAGGACCAGGGAAACGGGGTGATACTGCCACAGAATTGGAGGAAATGGAATTGGAGATAAACTCCTCAGTGAGGGTAGGTTCAGGCTGGATATTAGGAAAAATTTTTTCACTGAAAGGGTTCTCAGCCATTGGAATGGGCTGCCCAGGGAGGTGGTTGAGGCACCATCCCTGGAGGTGTTCAAAAGACGGGTTGATGTAGTGCTGGGAGGTATGGCCTAGTGATGATGCTCCTTGTTTGTTGTGTGGGTGTCTATTTTTGTCAGTTAGGTTGATGGTTGGACAAGATGATCTTTAAGGTCCCTTCCAACCTAGAAGATTCTGTGATTCTGAGATTACCAAAGAATTGCTTTGTCTTAAAATATACAGATCCCAAATATTTCAGAAGCGACTCAAGAAAAATGCAGTTTAATGATTTAGTGTGTCACCGTCTCATTTACAGTCTGAGGTCTTCTGTGACTTTCTGAACCCCCTTCTAAAAGCAAAATTTATACCTTAAAGAGGGGGGAAAAAGAAAAATCCCATTTTTAATGAGTTTTCTGATCTTCCATCCACCAAAAAAAGCAAGTTTCCTTACACAGAATGACTTACTGGATGGTTTTTTTTCACTCTCTCTTCCTCGTTGGCCTTAAATCTGACAGTAGTTCAGCCTTTTGTCTCCTTGTGTGATGGATTTGTGGCAGTGAGAGACCTTGCTGTGCCTTGGGAGGAGCCTGGTCCCTGCTCTTGCCCCCCGGGGTCCCCCAGCGTGGCCAAGTCCCTGCTGTTTCCTGTGTGTGGTGGGCATCTCCAGCCCAGCCCCTCCTCACTTCATCTCCCCTGGGTTTCTGGAAGCATCATCATCTTTCTTTTGTTAAAGTATCACAAACTCACCTCTTCCTCTCACGTTTTCTGTCCCCAGGGTAAGACTCCGTCGCCCCGCGCGGCTCACGCCTGCGCCACGGTTGGGAACAGAGGCTACGTCTTCGGTGGCAGATACAGAGTAAGTCCCAGCCCCCTTTGAGGAGGTGTTACCTAAACCATGTGTGACCATCTCAACCACGCTCTGCTTTCTTCTAGGAGGTTCTGGGCTCCCCAGTTCCAGAAGGACAGGGAACTGCTGGAGAGGGGACAGCAGAGGGGTACAGAGATGCTGAGGGGCCTGGAGCATCTCCCTTACGAGGAGAGGCTGAGGGACTTGGGTGTTTTTAGTCTTGAGAAGAGAAGGCTGAGGGGGAATCTGATCAACACCTATAAATACTGAAAGGGTGGGTGTCAGGAGGATGGGGCTGGTCTTTTTTCAGTGGTGCCCAGGGACAGGACAAGAGGAAATGGGCACAAACTTGAATATAAGAAGTTCCACCTAAACATGAGGAGAAACTTCACTTTGAGGGTGGCAAAGCCCTGGCAGAGGCTGCCCAGAGAGGTGGTGGAGTCTCCTTCTCTGGAGACTTTCAAACCCACCTGGACACGTTCCTGTGCAACCTGCTCTGGGTGGACCTGCTCTGGCAGGGGGTTGGACTAGATGATCTCCAGAGGTCCCTTCCAACCCCATAGCATTCTGGGATTGTTCTAGTAGAACCTGGTAAATTCAGAAGGTAAGGACACTGGATCAGGACTGATCTTCCTGAGCAGCTGCTGACTCTTGCTCTCAGGCATTTTTAACTATTGGTACAAGTAAAATTCTTTCACTGTGTCTAAAGAAATTCAACTTGGTGTTGGGTCATGAGTTCTGCGCAGCACGAAGCTGCGTCCTTCAGATACCTCAGAAATAATGAGAAATGAGCAGCAGCATTTTATTGCAGCGCGGGGGTCATTTGTGGTGTTTTTACCAAATTGCAGAATCACGCAAGGCATCTGCCCCGTCGGCCGGTCCTGGCATTCCTTAACACCCATTTCCTCCGACCACCTCTTCCTCTTCGGAGGCTTCACCACGGACAAGCAGCCTTTAAGTAAGTCATTCCAAAAGGATTTCACTGTGTCTTTGCTTGAATTACTGCCAGCTCACCTCAAATTCTTCCTGCATTCCTTCCGTGCTGCTGTGATCCAGCGCCTTATGGTCAACAGCTCATTTCACAGAGCAGGAGTCACCGACTGTGTTGAGACACTATTATTAATAGAAATTATTCTGCTCTAAAAAAATGTATCTAACGTAAATTGCAATTAGGAAGAGCTTTGCAGGTCTCCCTTCTGACTTTGCTCCCAGAAACCATTATTTAAGGCCTGTTTTCAAATAGTTTCATAGGGTTTTTCCTTAAAAACCCTATTTATTTAAGAGCAAAAATGGCTGTTCTGTGTTAACCAGAGTACACGCAAATGGGAAAGAATTAACAGAATATTGTTTGTATTTGGGGTTTTGCTTGTTTTCAGGCGACGCCTGGATTTATTGTATCAGCAAGAACGAGTGGATACAGTTTGAGCACAACTATTCTGAAAAACCAAGGTACGGGAGGCCTGGAAACGCACACCTGAAACGTGAGATGAACACTATTGTGGGAGTGGGGCTGGAAAACAGCAGGAAAAGCTGGGATTTAGGGTTTGCTCTGGCTGCAGAGGCCCCTGAGCTGGAACCTCCTCGTTCCTGTGCACGCCCAGAACGGTTTTGTTTTCCTGCCAAGTAAATTGGAGGTGATGACCTGCAATTTGAAAGCATCGAAACTGCCGCGATGCGTTTGTGGGGCATCGAAAACACTCGTGTCATGTGAGTTGATCCAGCTCGTTTGGGGATGCCTTCAGAGCTGAGGATAAATTAATTAAAATTAGCAGCCATTCTTCCCGCTCTGCCCTTTGGTGGGGATGAGGAGGGGGGTGTTCTCCGGGCTGAGCTGCCCCCCATCTGCTTCTCCCCCCACTTTGGAGCAGCAGGATGGGGCCGTGTTGCTGCTGAACACCCTGTGAGATCCCTGGTTTCCCCAAAATTAGGTGAGCAAAACCAGCTCTGACTGATGACGTTCCATCAGTCTTTTGACTCGAGCGGGACCTGAAAACACGGTCTGTGGGTTTCACACCCAGAACGTGCCCCCCCAGCCCCGCTCGGACCCCAACCCCCTCCACAGCCCAGCCTTTGCTGACTGGTTTTCCTCCTCCCACCACAAACTCCTGTTCATAGAATCATAGAATTGCCCAGGCTGGAAGGGACCTCCAAGGGTCATCTAGTCCGACCCCCCCACAGTCAGCAGGGACACCCCCAACTAGACCAGGTTGCCCAGGGCCTCATCGAGCCTCTCCTTGAATATCTCCAGGGAAGGGGCCTCAACCACCTCCCTGGGCAACCTGTTCCAGTGCTCCACCACCCTCACAGTGAAGAACCCTCTCCTCATCTCCAGTCTAAATCTGTTCCCCTCCAGCTTGAAGCCATTTCCCCTCGTCCTGTCACTACAGGCCTTTCTAAACAGGTTCTCCCCAGCCTTCCTGTAGGCTCCCTTCAGGTACTGGAAGGCTGCTCTTAGGTCTCCCCGGAGCCTCCTCTTCTCCAGGCTGAACAACCCCAGCTCTCTCAGCCTGTCCTCGTAGCAGAGGTGCTCCATCCCCCTGATCATCCTCGTGGCCCTCCTCTGGACCCGCTCCATCAGGTCCATGTCCTTCTTATATTGAGGGCTCCAGACCTGCACACAATACTCCAGGTGAGGTCTCACCAGAGTAAAGTGGCAGAATCCCCTCTCTGGACCTGCTGGCAACGCATCTTTTGATGCAGCCCAGGATGGGATTCCCCTTCTGGGCTGCAGCTGCACACTGCCTGCTCATGTCCAGCTTCTCCTCCACCAGCACCCCCAAGTCCCTTTCCTCAGGGCTGCTTTCCAATCCCTCACCCCCTAGTTTGTATTGGTGGCGAGGATTGTTGAAGGAGGGGTGTCTCCAGCGCCCCGGTGGAAGGGCCAACCCCCCGTGTTAACTCCAAAAGCAAATCCCCCAGGTGGGTTATGGGGTGGGGTGGTTTTTCCCTTTAAAAGGCAGCACCAATTCCTGTTTTCTAGGCTGTGGCACACGGCTTGTGCGAGCGAGGAGGGAGAGGTGATCGTCTTCGGGGGCTGTGCCAACAACTTACTGGCCCATTCGAAAGCTGTAAGTTTTATTTCCAGCTTTTCTTTCCCTTCCCTGCCCCAGCCCTTCCCCCGGGGGCTCGTCGCGGGCGTGAAACGCTTGTGCTGCCCCGTGAGAACTGGCAGAGGTGCACAAACAAAGCTGGAAGGGGAAACCTCTTGCTGCTTTTCTGGAAACCAGGTTCATTATTCATTATTTAAACAAACAAACTTTCCCTCACAGGTGCATTGCGCTTGGAGCCAATTCTTATCTCTTAATTATTTCTTTAGCTCTGCCCTCTGCTTCTCACGGGGGGGTGTTTTCAGGGAGCCAGGAGAGAACAGGCTGAGCCTGGGGTTGTTCTTCAGCCAGGACAGGGGGAAAAAAACACCTTTTGGTGTTGGAGACTGGGAACGAGCACCTTCTGGTGTAAGAACCAGTGGGTGTCAGCGAGTGGCAAACAAGGGTGGTGTAACTGTGCACCAGCAGCTGGGCCCTGGCAGAGATTATGTGGATGTGCATTCAAAGAATGGGTGTAACCTGGCAGGGTTTTAACTGATGGTGCCTTTCTGTGAAGAAATTTTTCCTAATATCCATCCTAAACCTCCCCTGGTGCAACGTGGGGCTGTTCCCCTCCACCTGTTGGAACAGCAGTTCCCTGAGTGCCCGTAACTCCCCCTGTTGCAGGATTTGGGGAGGATTTGGGGAGCAGTTCTGCGTTCAGCTTCTCTCCTGCCTTCATGACGTACGTGAAGTCCACTCTGCTCCCCATCATCAGCCTCTCCACCCCCAGAGTGGTGTCCTTGGCCGTCCTCTCCCAGTGCTGTTTGGGTGGGTTTGGCTCCTGCTGTGACACCCTGACTCCATGTAACCAAACTGCTTCTCTCTCTCCCCCACCCCAGGCTCACAGCAACGAAATACTTGTCTTTTCTCTACAACCGAGATCTCTTGTAAGGTAAGAAAAGCCAGACTTTGCCCTTAAACTGTCGTGTCTTCACCAGGGTTATCGCTAGATGCGTTTATGTTCCTAAACCACTTGAAAACATCCCTTCCCCTAAAGAACAGCAGGGAATTTTGAGAGGATGGAGCGAGATTCCTCTCAGAAATGCCTTTGGCACTGAGGAGAAGCAGCCCTCGCTCGGTAGCTGTAAGGGATGAGTTTCCCTCCCAGCCCTCCTTCCTCCTGGTGCTAATTCTGGTGTTTCCCTCTCCCCCAGGCTGTGCCTGGAAGCTGTCATTTGCTTTAAGGAGATACTGGCCAGTTCCTGGAATTGTCTCCCCAAGCACTTGCTGCACAGCGTCAACCAGCGCTTCGGAAGCAACAACACCTCGGGCTCCTGAGCCCTCCCCACCCAGGAGCAGCTCCAAGATGGAATAACCTCACGGAGCACGGCAAAACAGTAAATGTGTATAGGTTAACTATCCCTAGCCTCGTAGGTAGTCGCTTCTCGCCTCTTAAGTTGCATGTGAATGGCCTAGAGAGAACCTATTTTTGTGTCAAAATATGTTCGTTTGCAATAAATGTATATTTAAGGCGAGTGGAGATGCAGCCTCTGCCCGAGCTCAAAAACTAGGCCTGGGGTTGTCGGCCTGGAGGGAGGTGGGATGGGGGTGGGAGTGTTGTGAGTCCCCAGGGGTTCAGCAGGAGATAGAGGGGCCCCAGGAAGAGGAGAGTTGCTTTAGTGGAGGCTGAAGATGGTTTCGAGGGGGGGAGAACAGCCCTGGGGCTGTGGAAATTGTCCATTTGTGTCCAACGTGTGGTTAAAGCCTCAGCTGTTCAAGCCCCGCTGCCCTCTGCTCCTGCCCTCTGCTCCTGCCTACGTTGGGGTTTTGTTTGGTTTGTTGTTTTTTTTGTTTTTTTTTTTTGGAACTCTTTTATGTTGTGTAACTTCAATTGTGAACCTTAGGTAGCAGATATTCTGCCCTGAGAAAGTGAAAGTGCTTGAGCCTGTTGTCCGCCCGTCGCCGACTTTTGCTGACTCGGCCCCAGCAGGTGACATGGGGGGACAAGGGACAGGCTGTTGCTGCTGTGGGGAAGGGGTGAAATCATGTTTTACGCTGTCCTCAGAAAAAAAAAAAAGAAATAAAAATTAAAAAGTTTGAATTCTAGAACGAAACTAACTGCTGGCTTGTAATTCCTGGGCGAGCTGTAGCTGTGGCTGGAGTTGAGGGGTGCTGACACAGCACACGGGGGTTTATTGACCCTCTGGATCCTTCCCTGCCTGTTCCCCACCTCCCTGGGGGCAATAATTCGGGGCAGGGTGCAGCTGAGCTGCTGGGAACAGGCCCTACGGAGGGCTGGGAATGCACCACCCGCTTCCTGGCAGCATATTTGGGGGGAAAAAAAAAAAATAAATCAAATTCTACCTTTTCTCCAATGAAACCTTTTGCACTGAAACTCCAGTCACAGAATCACAGAATCTTCTAGGTTGGAAGGGACCTTAAAGATCATCTTGTCCAACTGTCAACCTAACTGACAAAAATAGACACCCACACAACAAACAAGGAGCATCATCACTAAACCAGACCTCCCAGCACTACATCAACCCGTCTTTTGAACACCTCCAGGGATGGTGCCTCAACCACCTCCCTGGGCAGCCCATTCCAATGGCTGAGAACCCTTTCAGTGAAAAAATTTTTCCTAATATCCAGCCTGAACCTCCCCTGGAGCAACTTGAGGCCATTTCCTCTCGTCCCGTCGCCTGTGACAGTCCCTGTCAGAAGAAAGAAGAAACCAACACGGCAGGAGTTTTGTGGCAAATCCCAGCAGCCGGGGAGGGAGCGCTCGGCTCCGGGTTCAAAGAAGGAGCCAGAGGTGACAGCACCCACCCAGTGCCAGCCATTTACTTGCAGGTTTTTATGTTATTTGTATAGATTTGATAAGAGTCCACCTAAACCATCCCACAGGAACCCGGCCTCCGTGGAAGCTCAATGCAGTGGCACTAAGGACAGCCAGGGCAGGTCTGTCCATCTGTCCGTCCCTCTGTCCGTCCCGGCTGCAGGTGCTGGATTCCAACTGCATGACCCAAATTATGGAATCACTTCTTTTTCCTGTTGAGGAGATGAGGCGCAGACACTTTCACTTTCCCGGGAATATTTCTTGACAAATCGGTGTCCTGCAAAACAGCAAGAGATGAGAAGTTGAACAGGGAAGAAAAAGCTTTTTAGGAACATCCTCCTCCTCCTCACCCTCGGCTTCCGCGGCGGCTGATGAGCCCCGTTTCTGCCAGCTTTTCCCCCAAAGAAAAGGTGGCTGATGGCAGGCTCTCGTGCCGTATTTTATTAATTAAAGGCTTAATGGGTTTTCGTGACGCTTCCTTCGAGGTCATGGCAAGGCCCCAGCCCCCTCCCCACTGGTGGGTCCGGGAGGGCCCAGTTTGAGAAGGAAATGGAGGGAATGGCAAGAAAAATAGAAGGAAACTGCACAGAGCTGGGCTGAGTCCTGTCTGAGCAGAGAGATGACACCTTCACTCGGAGGGAATTCCCCCTCCCAAAACTAGAGGACTTTTAGAAAAACGGTATTTTTTCCTGATAACCTGTTTTAGATCAAGAGCAACACAGCACAGACACTGAAGGCCCCGCGCTACGCCTGAGGCTCCATTTCTAATGATTTTTCCCAGCCTAAGCCCTACATTTTCCCCAGGAATACTGAGAAACACAACACTGCCAAAAAAAAAAAAAAAACAACCAATAGCAGACTTGGTTTTGGAAGTATTTACCCCCAAAATGGCACCACTGGACACTCTGCTGCTATTGTTGTGTTTGTAGGAGAGAAACGATATAGAAATTAGTCACCTTCACGCTGCGGAACAGGTCTTTTTCTCTCACAGTAGCTTCTTTGGATTGCATAAAATTATGCAAGGCAATTTTTGCAGCTGTAAAAAAAAAACAAACAGGAAAAATGCAAATAAGATGTCAAAAGGTGCTGGGTTCAACAGCTGGGGCGCCTGAAAGGATTGGGGTGCTCGAACACGGTACCTTTTCCCTTCTTCTGGGTGCCTGGCGTGAGCTTGACTTTGTACCTTGGGAAAGAAGAGGTTTCTGTGAGTAATTAATTCCCAGGGGCAGCCAAACCCTCCCCGCCCAGAAGGTGCTGGGGACTCACTTGTAGTTGGCCATGGCCGTGTAGGGAGCGCAGATGGGGACGGCGAAGAGGAGGATGTCCTCGGGGTGGGGTTGGCCCGTCAGGGAGTCCAGCAGCGCCTCGCCTTCCTGGGGGGACAGAGGGGCTTCCCTGGGGAACCAGCCTCTCTCCGGCCCCTCGTCCCTGGGGGCAGAGCCTGGAGGGTCTCCCCTTCCAGCTGCCTTCCCACTTCTTGTGATGGGGTTACCAAAAATGGCCCCTCGTCCCTGGGGGCAGAGGCTGGAGGGTCTCCCCTTTCAGCTGCCTTCCCACTTCTCGTGATGGGGTTACCAAAAAGTACTAAATTTAGCTTTATCACTCGCTTCACGCCAAACCAGGCCTCGTTACTGACCCTCCGTGATTACTAAAAACCCATCATTCGAAACACAGAATCACAGAATCTTCTAGGTTACCAAACCAGGCCTCGTTACTGACCATCCGTGATTACTAAAATCCCATCATTCGAAACAGAAGGGATTTAGCTTTGAGTGACCCCAAAAACCAGACCCCCAAATGGAGTTACAACTTCACGGGCTCCACCACCAGAAGCTTCCCCCACTCCCGCCAACCGTTATCCTCCTTCCTTAAAGAATTGAAAGAAATCTACTTCTTCCCAGCCTTGGGCAACGTCCACAGCCTGTAATTATGGAAAAATTGGAAGCAATCTTGTATGTAAATAAACTCGTTGGCTAACGAGCGACTCGCACCACGTGGTGCTGTGCCACCGTGGCCGGGGGTGCCAAGGCAGGGGACAAACTCCAGATTTCTACAGGGGACGGACATAAGCAGGGCAGGAAGATAAAAGAGGTTATGGTTTTTTAAAAATACAATAAATCTGGGTTCTAACAGTCGCGGGCAAGAGGGGGGCTGTGACAGCAGAGCTGAAGGTCTGGGGGGAGGTGCTGCTGCAGCGGGTCCTGCTGCTTCCAGAGGGAGTAAAACCTTCTCCTCAGCACTTGGAGCTTCAAAGGTGAGCATTTACCTCCACCGCCGGCTGGTCCTGGTCTTGCTCCTCCTGTGCAGACAAAGAAAGGAGACATCAGAGCTGACAGGAGCACACACAACGGCTTTTGTCTCCCCCCAGCCCCTGCAGAAAATAAGTTCTTCTATCAGCGGGATGCACAAAGCCACCTTCTCACCACACAGAGAATTTCATAGAATCATAGAATCCTCTAAGTTGGAAGGGACCTTCAAGATCATCTAGTCCAACCATCAACCTAACTCTGACAAAAAAAACATCACTAAACCATGTTCCCCAGCACCATGTCAACCCGTCTTTTGAACACCTCCAGGGATGGTGCCTCAACTCCTTCCCTGGGCAGCCCATTCCAGTGTCTGATGACCCTTTCAGTGAAAAAATTTTTCCTAATATCCAGCCTGAACCTCCCCTGGTGCAACTTGAGGCCATTTCCTCTTGTCCTGTTGCCTTTTCAGGCTGGATATTAGGAAAATTTTTTTCACTGAAAGGGTTCTCAGCCATTGGAATGGGCTGCCCAGGGAGGTGGTGGAGGCACCATCCCTGGAGGTGTTCAAAAGACAGGTTGATGTAGTGCTGGGAGGTATGGTTTAGTGATGATGATGCTTTTTGTTTGTTGTGTGGGTGTCTATTTTTGTCAGTTAGGTTGACGGTTGGACAAGATGATCTTTAAGGTCCCTTCCAACCTAGAAGATTCTGTGATTTGGGAGAAGAGACCGACCCCCGCCTCTCTACACCCTCCTTTCAGGGAGCTGTAGAGAGCAATGAGGTCTCCCCTCTACCTCCTTTTCTCTGATTTTTAACTGATTTTAAAGCAAAGGTAGGGCCCAGGGCTCCCCGGCGGTGGGAGAGCAGCCGGCACAGAGACTGCTGCAGGGATTTTGTTGCTTCTTGACACCAACAGGCTCCCAGAGCCACAGTGTTAGCTCCAGTGTCCTCCACTGCACCCCAAAACTGCTCAGCACCCCTGGGAGAATGGAGCTACGCGGTGGCAGGAGAGCCAGGGCGGAGGGGGAGCAGGGACAGACACACGGACAGGAGAGGTGGGTGGGCATCCTGCTCACCTTCTCGTCCTGCTGCTCCTCCAGGGCTGGGTCCTGCGACTCGTGCAGCAGGATTCCTGCTGGGAAGGGCTCCTTGGCCCCTCCAGCGCCGCGACGCGCAGCCTTGGGTTTCTGCTGCTGCTTCTTCGCCGGCTCTTCTTTCGTCTTCCCCTTTTTGCCTTTTTTCCCTTTCTCCTCCTTGTTGGACCCTGCAGACTGGGGTCACACAGAGTGGTCAGAGCCAAGAGACCACCCAAGAGACAGGGGAAGGCAGAGTTCCTCTGGCTCACCCCCAGCAGCTTCATGATGAGCTCCCGGTCCTCCTCATCCTGGTCCTTGTACTTTTCCTTCATCTTCTTCATTTTACTCTGCGGAAGAAAACACACCAACAGCTTCACAAACAGTGACTTTGGCTGAGTTTTGTGTCCACAAACACCCAGACGCTGACCCTACACGCACTTTCTGTCCAGGTCACCTGAACCTCTTTCAGAGCAGCTCACCAGTAACCAAGAGACTGTGGTTTCAGTGAGGACCAGCACCATCAGCCTGAAACCACCAAGAGCAGCATCAAGTGCTACAACTACCAGGGGGACACAGACATCTCACAGAAACCTGCTATTTCTGTTCACACTTCAGATGGCAACGGCTCAACCCATGGGGAACCCTGGTCCCAACCTACCTTCTGGCCCCGCTTGATGGGCTGGGGGGCTGGCACCCCCTTAGTGGTGTTGGGAGCAGGGGGAGGCTGCGTCTCCGACTTTCTCTGCTGCTCTTCGGGCAGCTCCAGGTTCTCAGAGTCGTTTTGCTGCTTCTTTTTCTTCATTTCTCTAAGGAAAACGATCACTTGATACACTGCCTCTTGTTGCGACAAGAGAGGCTGTGGTTCTCCTGCCCAAATGACCACCCTGCTTCCCTGCCACAGGGCTACGGGGCATCACGAGGCACTGGAAATAACCCCTTTCCAATAAAAC